AAGATCTAACAATGAACTGCAAAACTTTTTTTTACAGTTAAAAATAGTAAATCTTTATTTTTTTAGATATTAACAGAGCAGGCTCGATTACCTCAACTTTTGGTTTGATGAGGTACACAAAAATAATTAAAAACGAAGTATTTTCATGGGCACCCATGCAGACTGTCTATCCACAACAGAAGGAAAGCACAACTTTCAAAAGATCTCCTATATTCTCCTCATAATAATAATAACAATAACAGGCAGACTAAATTACAATGCAATCCAACATAAATTAGAGAGCCAGCTTATCTGGATACTAAGGCAGGAAAAATATCACGGTTTATACCATTATCTCAAATATGTTTTTAAAAAGTGCTTATCTACTCTAAAGATCAGGAATAATATTACATGCCAAGCTTCAATAATATATTCTCATGTCTACATAATCTTGAAAAATAATCTATATCAGGCTATGTGTGTATGTGTAAAAAGGACACTGAATTAGGCAGACCTGGGTTTACAACTGATTTATCACCGGCTGCCTTGAGAGCATGTCATTGAACATCTCTGAATCTCAGTTTCCTCATCTATGAATTGAGCATGGCAATCCTTGCACCTCATGGCTCTTGTGAGGACTCAAAAGATACAATAAACATAAGGTGCATGGTACGCCACTTCACATATTACGAAGCACTTAAATTTTGTCAGTGTCATGCCCATCCAAACCTTATTATTCAATTTGGTATCTTGCAAATAATCACAGGGGAGGTCACGTGAAAGAGATTGATCAATAATCCAAAATACAGCTCTACACCTTAAAAAGCATTCAAAGGGCACATGCAGAAGCCGTAGCAGCACACATACCCTATACCCCTATTAAGCAACACAGATTATAGAAAAACAGAGTAGTGGAGCCAAAGTTACTCCCTTAAAGGATGTGCAGAGCCATAAAGAATCAGCAGATCAAAACTTGTGTTTTAGAATAGCAAATAAAGGCACAGGTGGGAACCTCAGCTTTCTTTCACTGCACAAGGAAGGCACTGGGTTGTCTACTCCTAAGGGGTTGCTATCCCCCAAATTCTATGATTCTAGTATAATGGGTTTAGTGCCACTTTACTTATTTTTAAATCTACTAAATTACTCCACTCCTTACAAAAAAGCCATACCACCATTGTGAATTGTACTATACAATAGTAAGGCAGTTTTAAAACGTACACATGCATACAAATACACACACAAACACACACACAGACACAAACACACAGTTAAATGATTCTTTCAACAAATGCCTTTAAGGAGAGATAAATTTTTTTTTTTTTTCACACCATAACCATGAACTCAAACTGTTACAGATAGAAATTCAGGATGCTGACCATTTGAATTTTCTCTGTGATACGAAAAGCACCTGCTGGATCAATTTTTTTCTCCCTGAATTTACTAAATTGATGTGCCATTTTGGTGTTATGTGGACAGAGGTTAAATAACCTGTATGAACATCAAAAAACGCTTCTCCTCTTCCAGAAATGACCACAACAAGGATGTGGTGAGTTTGACTGCTGCTCTTAATCGTTCAAACACCCATTCATTTGGCAATCTTTAACAAACACTGAACACCTAAGTAAAACTAAACAGTTACAGGGGGGGAAAGCTCAACTTTTAAACTAAGAGAGGAAGATGTAATATCCATCACAGACGAACTGTAAATACATGTAACAGATGTGACGAGGGCTGTTCTTGAGTATAGATCATTTTAGTGGCCCAACTCGAAAACTACTTTTTAAAAAGATGCCAAAGCTAGTAAGTTTCTCTTTTGCTCATAAAAGACTCAAAGGTAACCAAATAAACTATATTTTTGTTATAATAGAAAATAAAAACCCCTGTTCATCAATGAATTATAGCTCCTAGGTGCATTTTTTTTTTCTTTTGGTGATTTTGCCACCCTACTTTTTAACAAGAATAATTTTCCAAGCATCCAGGCATGTGTATGTTTTTAGTTTGTTTTTAAGAACAATGATATAACGGATATTAAATCCCTTTGTATAAGTTACCATATAGGTTACAACTATTTCTTAAAAATAATTTCAGAGCCCACCAATTCATTCTGTTAAGGTCATGGAAGCTCTGAACCACCATGGCTGAATTGTTTTAGTGCTCTCTGCTGAACACCTGCGAACATCAAACAAAACCTGCTGGTCCTTTCCTGGGTTGACAAAAGCCTTTCATGTGAAAAATGCTCCCTGGGAATGTCAGGCTGTAGCTCAGGTTACATTCCATTCTCCCTAGCAGCCTCACCATTTCTTAAGGTGGTAGGGAAAACCATGTTTGTGAAATGAAAGATGAAAGGGAATATGGCCACACTTTACTTTCATTCCCACATTGCAAATCACAATGGAGCATCCTATATTAATAGATTCAAAAGCTATTGGGAACTTTATGCATGAAATATCACCATGCCTCACTTTGAAGAAATATGGCTGGTTTTGCAAATATGAACAGTTTACTTACAGTCTGGGTCTTTTTTTTCTTAGACCCAAGTTTCAGAGCTACCCATGAAAGGGACACCTGAGGCCACTCAAGGCAATGGATATTAACCTGCAGCAAATTTAGAAAATTATTTCTCTGTCAAAAGTTTCCTAGTTCATCCTTCCAGTTAAAGAGCAAAGTTCAGTTTTCCTGATTTTTCTATTTGATATTCTTTAAAAGAGATTTATCTTTGTCGTAGAGTGGAAATATAAGCCATTTTTTTAAACTAATAGCTCTGTGTTCAAATATGTCTTGAATAGATGAGAAAAACCAACACTACAATCTGTACTCCATATATTATAGTCACCAACATACCACAGTGGATGAATACCCTGCATTTTCATTCCAGCTGCCAGAGCAAAATAGCCACTGCACTTTTTTTACCTTTACAAGTAAACATTTGGGCCTGAAAACTGCAACTGTGGTACACTGTAACTTAGTGTTCAGCACCTTAAAATAATCACAGCATCCTCATTAGAAATATCATAACATGTCTTACTAAGGATAAAGTCTCTTCTAGAATTATGTATGTGTGTGTGTACTTGTGTGTTTGTGTGTATAGATAGATAGATATAGATATATATTTGTCTTAAGAACTGTGTAAGTTCAATATATAATCACTTACTAAGATGCATTAATACATAATCTTACTTATCAAGCCTGTCCTCTCTGTAAACATTTAAACATCATAGCAAAGACTTTATTTAAATGTGAACACAAAAAAGGGACCAGATGCACAGTTGTTTTTAAATGTAACACAATTTCATGCTCCTAAATTACTTTACTTTATTAAACCATACCTAAGCTGATACACTTATGTTATTCCAAATGTATCAGTTTTCACACAGTGCAAAAGAGTTTTTTGCACTTTGAAAGCAGTCTATCTCTGGGCCTTTCTGACATAATCAACTTTTAGATTTAAGCTGAATACACATTTTCTTAAGTAAAATCATAAAGAAAATTACTGTCAGAGATCAAGTTAGTTACTGTTTTGATACTGTCTAACATGAAAAATTAAGTTGTCTACAAGAGATACTTATACTGATCTGTACTTCAAAGTTATGTAGAGAATATAATACCAAAATTTGGAAGGCATAATACCAAGACAACAAAAGATGTGAAGTCCCTTAATTGAAAATATAACAGGGTCCAAGGCAGCAGAAAACAAATATATGGTCAATAGTACTTTTAACCAAAGTGGACCCCAAAATTGTCTCTAACATTATAAATCAAATTAATTATAACATTATAATTCAAATAAATCAAATTATGGAGATATAACTTAGTCTTATGGGAGCCAGAAGAAAGAGAAGTAACTTATTCGGAAATGAGCAACTTTTAAAAGCCACTGATTTTATAGAAGCACACCAATTATACAAATCACAAAGATGAACAGATTTCTTTCATTGCCAGAGCATCAAATGAAAATTAAGAGATGTGAAATTATATTCAACAGTTAACAGAAAATTCCACTGGCATCTCACAGCTAAAAGATGTCAACATTTACCAGTCTGACTTAAGAGTGGTACTCAGTCTAATGTACTGTTATTACCACTGCCAGAACTCCTAAAATACTACAGCTGCTTAAAAAGTATAAATGGATCTAAGCCTAAACGTAAAGGATAGCAGGCAACCATGTATGCTTCCTTCCTATATGAAATTCACTGGACCAAAAAAAAAAAAAAAAAAAAAAAAAAATTAAGTGAATATCATATTTTCAGTTTTCACTTTAATAAGAGACCTTCAGGGAGTCCCCTATTAAAACTCCTCCTTAGATGCCAGATAATCATTGCACACACAGATTCCTTTGTGAATAACGCTAACATCTTCTTAAAGCATCACCCAAAGACCTTTCATTTATGAAATGTAAAAGTCCTTCCATATTTGCAACTTTAAATAGAGCAAAAATTCACTGCACGGGAAATGCTTAGGGGAAAAAATAGCTAAAGCACCAAAAAGAATATTTTAAAGATAAATGAATTCATATTTTGCTCTCAGAGAGCAAGAGGCTCTCTATTTACAGCTAGGGTTTACTATGCAGGATTCATCTGCAAAATTAAGTGCTCACTTCTTTAAAAGGGTTAATTATACATAGTACCTAATAATTAATATTATTTACAAGGGATTTTCCCTTTTTTTGAAAGTTAGTTTTTCCCCTCTATTTTCAAATAGGGAAATAAATTCATTTTCCCCATGTCAACACTGGCCTTATCTTCACATGTCTGATTACAACTGTATTAGAAAATTGCTTTTAAATTAAGTAATGGAATTCTGAGACAGTTTCCTTGATTGATTAAAAAAAAAGCCCTAATTTTAATTTTGCAAAAGATAACATTTTGTGTAAACTATACTACTGATGGATAATGAAATAACCATATCATTACAGGCTAAAATTTCAATGACTTTTTCAGAACACTTCAACAGAGCCAAAAATATACAGAGTGAATAAACAGCTAAGAACACTGAACTACACGCTAAGAAAAGAATTTACATACTTGAGCCAGTAAAATGTCCACTCGCCAAAGAAGTTGGTCCATTTTTCCCACTGCTCACAGGAGGTGAAAACATCTAAAAGAAACAAAGAAATATGACTGTCGAAAAGAAGACATTTGTGCCTTTAGAGTTTGTCAAAGATCTTTCACACTCTTACCAAATAGCTTAAGAGTTTAGGCTAAAGGTTCATTTTAGTAAAATACATCACCATCCAACTTAAAACCAAAACAAGCTTAACATTACCAGTCACCTCCCCCCACCCCAACCCCTTTACCACTCTCTCCTTTCTTTTTCCTCAGGTTCATTAGATTGCTAGCACTAGGCAATACTGCTACACTTGAAACAAACACAGTCCCCATAATGCTATCAAGATTCAAGTTGGAGGGCAGCGGCCTCTCTAGAAAACACTAGTTTTACAAAGGAGAAGAACAAAGTTGTTTGTTTTATATTGAAAACCTTGGCCATAAACGTGGCAATGTCCATTTCCATCCCGTATAGGATTTGCCTGTCATATGTGAACCCAAATAAATATAAAAGTGCCACCTGCACTAAATTCTCATTTCGTCTCTAACATGAGAGCAATTTGTAGCAAGACTCTCTCTCTCTCTCTCTCTCTCTCACTCTCTCTCACTCTCTCTCTCTCTCTCTCTCCCTCTCACTCTCTCTCTCCAGCATTTATTTCGACCCTAATTGGTTTCCCTCTTCTTCGACGTATCTAGTGGATAATGCGCACCTTCCCTGAGTCAGAGCCTGCAAAAAGCAAAGGAACGAATGGAGAAAGTGCAGCGAGCAGAAAGGGGGCTACAAAGCTGCCTAGGGCTACGTTTCCTGGCAAAACTTCCGAAAGCCATTTCTCCAGAAGAAGGTCCAGAAGAGCAACAGCGGCAGCAGCGGCAGCAGCGGAGGCGGCGGCGGCGGCGGCGGCGGCGGCGGCGGCAGCAGCAGCGGCAGCGGCAGCAGCGGCAGCAGCGGCAGCAGCAGCGGCAGCAGCAGCAACATGAAAGAGCCCCACTTAGAAGGCGGTTTGGATTTTATTTGTGTGTTTTGTGGATTCTTTTTATTTTGCTTTGCAAATGCGTCTTACACCAAACTCATGTGGCATTAAAAATGAATTAATTCCCCTGACAGGTCTGGGACTTGGTTTGGGAAAGGGAAGCAAAGGGATGGAGAGAGGGACCAACTACAGCCGTAAAACTCCACAAGTGTGTAAGTTTGGCTTTGTGTTGATATCACGACTGTGAAATTTACCAAAACAGTCTAAAGGAGTCTAAGGGATGTATGATGCTCGGTACACATACACGAGTTTTCAGAATCCTAGGAAAAGATGCAACTAACAGGACTACAGGTCCTACGAACCCAAAGCATCATCAATTTAAAACTTTAAGAGACAACTGGGTCTCCTATTTTCTCTTCTCCATTTCCAGGAAAAAAAAATAAAATAAAATAAAACGAGTAGTATGCAAAGTATTATGAGTACTCTCATGTTCAGATAAAGCCAGGTTTTAGGGTTGTCTGTTTGTCCTTTCATTTGGGGTGAGATTCCATTATTTTGGAGGTCCGGTGGGTAGGGAATTCAAGGCAAGTAATTACACTCTGGGGGAAAAAAAAAAAAAAAAGCCTGAATCGTCCATCACACCCAAAAATTGTAGTTAAAAACTTATCAAAAAGACCTTCGTGTTTGCCAAGGATTCCGCCAATTAAAAATTATTCCTGTCCTTTAGACTACTATTGGTTTCTAGCTGAAGTGTTTGGGTTTTTTTGTTTTGTTTTGTTTTGTTTTTCACAGCTGTTGTTAGTTTCCACCGTTCTTTCTTACCGCACTGAAATCCAGTAAATCACTCAGCTCTTTGTCCGTCCCTAAGGCAGCCATTCGCTGTTGGTGATGCATTTTAGCAAAATCACACAAACCTAGAAACATGGAAATAACCGCAATCAGAAAATCCAGTCCCAATCCTTGGAGAAAACACAATCGGATTTTTGGAGACTGGGGGGGTTGGGGGTGGGGATGTGGGGGCGGGCGGGATTAAGGTGGAAAGGAGGGAGGGATGGGAGAGTTTTTTGGTTTTGTTTTGTTTTGTTTTTTTGTTTTTGTTTTTTGTTTTTTAAGATGGAATAGGCAGCAATAGCAAAAAAAAAAAAAAAAAGCGATATTGATATTGTATTTCCAAAGAGACGATCAAAACTGGTAACATCCACTATAAAACCAAATCCGGGAAGGGGAAAAAAAAAAAAAAAGCCGCTCTTCAGCGCATCATTTTATGCAACAGGAGGTAGAGCGAGAAATGAATGGATCACAGAGAAAAGAGAAACTACTCAGAACGATCCGGTCTCAACTTTCCCCCCACCCTCCACCCCACCCCCCTCACACACATTCACACACTCACACACACGCACACACACTCACACACACCACTCCCCTCTGCATTTCAAAGTAGCTATAAAGAAATTAAAGATGAGCGTCTCTGGAGTGAAAACACGTCCAAAGGGGGAGGGGTGACAGGGTCGGCGAAAGGGGGGGAGCAAAGTGGAGGGTCGGGTCCTGTAATTGTCCAGCACCCTAATTTGTGAAAGAAAGGGTTGTAAAAATTAAAGTCAGGCCCTTGGCAAAGTCATCGGTCCCTCCAAGTGGCATTGCTGGGGAGGGGGGGCGGGGGGGGAGAGATGAGGAGGAGGGAAGAGGCGCGGGAGGGGAAGGGGTGTCTCTTCTGGGAGCGCCGGGAGCCGGGAGCCCGCGGCTCGGGAGGCGCGGAGCCGCGTTCGGAGCCGCCGAGCCCCAGCCCCGCGCCGCCCGGCGCTTCAGCCCGCGGAGCCCCGCCGGCGCCGGTACCTACCGCCCGCGCGCGAGAAGGGGCTCTCCGTGCACCGCCGGCGCCGAGGCGGCGTTCATGTCTAACCACTGCCTCCACCACCACCACCTCCTCCTCCTGCGCCCGCGCCCGCTCCTGCTCCTTCCCCGCCGCCGCCGCCGCCGCCGCCGCCACTACAGATCCGCAGACACACAGCCAAGATCCCTGACTCTTAACACCAACTCTCTTCTCCGGGGAGGGGAGGGGACGAGGGAAGGGGGGAGGGGGAAACACGCCGAGGCGCACGGAATTGCAAGTTCAGCAAAGAAATGGGTGGGGGGGGCTCCGGCGGCGAGACGCGGCTCACTCGGGTCGGGCTGGCTGGGATGCACACACACACACACACACACACACACACACACCAAAAAAATCTCAACACCTCCCCCGCCTCGCAAAAAAATACAAACGAAAATTCGTGGAGCACCTCATTTTCCCTCAGATCGTCAGTTACAATCTGAAGCCTGAACAGTTCAGTTTTTGCTCGTTTCATCCATCGGAGGCACTTTGAAATTTATTCGAGTTTACATCCCCTCACTTCTTTCTTTCTCTGACTCTCGTTCCCTCTCACTCACACATCCACACACAGCAAAGCAAGTTTATACTAGGCTGCAAATACACGTGATGCAAAAAGACTTTGCCAAGAGGAACAATATTTTTCTTTTCCATATATAAACCAAACCACATTTTGCTGGGGAGATTTTCATTTCGGTAGTTTTGCACTGGGGGCGAAACCTAAATTGCATACTTTCTTTCCCCTCCCTTTTAAGTCACAGATTAGTATAGCTGCAAACTTCGCCAAAAAAAAAAAAAAAAAAAGCAATTTTTGAGGGTGGATGTTGTTTTGTTTTTACACTTGAGTTCCTAGCCACGCTAAGTCCCCGTTCGCCAGCACTCTAAGTTTTGAATTCAACATTTACCATTGCAGGCCTTGCATGCTCTTAAAACATACTTTTTCACATCACTTTTTAGGATTAAAATTAAGCTTCATAATTCTATCGTTTCATAATAACAACCGTGCTTTAACCAGTATATGCAACATACGCTATTTTAACGTGTGTTAAAATACACATTCCAGAAACCCTGTAATTGCTAGATGTGCAAGTACATACACAAAATGCATGCACACACTTTTTCCCATTGGCAATTATTTAATAGGTTGTTCCTTTTGTTTTAATAAAACATTGGGATCGACATTTTAAAAATTAAATTCAATTACAAACAGTTTACTCTGACAGCAAATTGTAACGTTACCTTAAATGGCCACAAATATGCTCACAATATTCCAAGGAAAGTGACTTTAAAAAGAAAGACAAAAATCTTCTGCAAGTACTTAGTATCTCACATGTGTATCCCCCAAAAAAGTATTTTAACTGGTACTCAGTTCTGCTCCAGGGATATCCACAGAATACAAGATTATGCACCTGGCTCTGGTTTTTGCATTTTCCACCATAAAACTGCAACAAAATTCCCTCCCCCAAAAAAGAAATCATTAAAAAAAAAAAATCCAACAACTTTTTCTTATTGTTTATAAAAAAAAATATCAATACAGGATAGTTAGAATTTTTCCTCAAACAAATCTTGTTGGTGGGGTTTTTTTCTTCTCCTCTTATAAAGTCTTAAACTTGTTCCAAGTTTAGAGGTGTCTCATCATCATCATCCTCCTCCTCCTCATCATCATCACCATTGACTCCCCCGTGGAGTCACATTGATAATAATAGGTTTCCCTGAAAGATACATTGTAATCCATTCACATCCGGGCACTGCGGGCTTATAAAGAGAAGGCGCTGCGGCCGCGGCTGCTCCTCCAGACAATGACTGGGGAGGGGCGGGGCGGGAGCGAGCGGCCATAGAGTAGTAAACAGAGCGCCTAGAGAGGCACCTAAGATGGCGGCGCGTGCGGGCCACGCCTCCTCCGGGATCGGAGGCGAGTGGTTGGGCTCAGTCTGGTGTCGCGCGTGGGGCCGAACCGTAAGGGGTCTTGAGGTTGGGGCTGTTCGCAGGCCCGGTGCTCCTGTGCACTGCTTCTTGTTCGCTTTCCTTGGTTCTCCCTATTTTTTGTTTTTGTATTTTTGTTTTGGGGGGGTTTTTTACTCAGAAGTGTAGTTTCCAAAATAAATTAGGCATTACACGCCACAGATTTCCTCAGGGGAGTCAGATCCCCTGGCTCACCCTCAAGGGAGGCTGGGGAGAGGCCGCGCTGGCCCCACCAACAAAAAGAGAGCCCGGATTCTTTGGCCGTGTGGAGCCAGGCCTCTTAGCCACGCTTGTGCAGCGTGGGGAAAGGCCCCTGAACCAAGTTGTAGTTCCTGGGCTTGAAAAGGGATGAGGGTCCTCTCCTCGCCACCCCACCCCATCTTTTTCTAGGACCCTAGAAGAGAACTTTCTAAGACGAGGAGGTCTTCACTCAGAGAGGACTTGAGTTAACTAAGTCATAGACTCACATCGAGTTTGTACCATGAACCACTACTGACCCAACTTAGAGTTCTGGCCAAGCAGTTACCTTCTCCAGCCAGATTTCTGTTCTGTGACTTGCAAATAATGATCACTTTTACGAATTTCAGGAGTTAAGGGGATAAAGATAAAGGCGGAGCCACCACAGAAGAAAATTTCCCTTTCCATCTCTAATTCCTCGCTGAACCAACGGATACCGCTGATCTAGTCCACGGATTTTAAAGGGAGCTTTCTCTCTTCCACCAGTATATTAGTCCTCCTACGGGAGAAAAGCGAGTAATCATAATGATGGGTTAACACTTACATAGTGGGTTTACTATGTGCGAAACACTGTTCTAAGAATTTTTCAAATGTTGGCTGCTCTGATCCTGAGAATGACTCTACAGGGTATTTTTTAAATATTTTTATATTATATATTTTATATACAGAGGATCAGAATCAAGCAATGCTAAATAGCTTGACTCAGGACACTTTGGTAAATGACACAAACCTGCCTAACATTACACAACTTTATTAAGTGATAGAACCCACCTTTGAAGCCAGGCAGTCTGGGATCAGAGTCAACATTCAACCACATTCCTATACCATCTGGCAGCAGGAACCACCTAATCTCCATTTTCTGATGCAATTTTGTGGCAGTAACAGAGTTCAGATTAATTTTTAAGACCTTTAATTCATATGTAAGTTTTTAGAAAACAAGAATTCGGACATTCATAGTTTGTTTCCTGAATATTCACACATTGTGAAGATTTCTGTCTTCTATCCCCATTCCATGTCCTCATCTTAAAATAAATTTTACATGTAAATACCACTTTACACTGTATTATCACCGCATTATCTGTGATTCTCAAAGTAAACCTCTACAGGGTTATACTGAGATGATGTAATAAAAAATTCACAAACATTTGCTTAGGAGAAATATTCCACTGGTTCTACCTCTAATCAGCTCCATGACCTAAGGCTTGAGGTCAATGTCTTACTGTAAAATATACAGGCTAGAAGATAATCCCTTAAGATTCTTTCTGGTTTCTAGTTAGATTGTAAGAGTCTCCCTCTCCTGAATTTCAAGGGGAATAAATGATCTGTCCAGAAAAAGAAAAAAAAAAAAAAAAGATAAGATCAGGTCTGAAACCTAAATGCACACAACTGATTGCTAGCATTTTTTTGTTGTTGTTGTTTATTTTATTTGTTTGAGAGAGAGAGAGAGAGAGAGAGAGCAGGAGAAAAAGCAGAGGAACAACATTGGGAGAGAGATAATCTCCAGCAGACTCCCTGCTCAGCATGTAGCCTGACCAGGAGTTCAGTCTCACAACCCTGAGATCATGACCTGAGCTGAAATCAAGACTTGAACGCTTAACTGACTGAGCCACTCAGGCAACCCTAGCACACTTCTCTGTTGTTTTAAAAAACACCCGACAGTCCAAAAACCATGTAACCCCCTTCCTATATTAAATTCAGGGACAAATGTGGATTGCTTTTGTTTTTGTTTTGTTTTTTTTCCCCCTTAACTATCAGAAGAATAGATATATCTACAAAGTTATACTTAAGAAGATTGGAGACAGCTTAGAAAGGAAGACTCAATAGAATTTTGTGAAATTTGGATAAAAAGGTAAGTGCAGCAGATATGATTTGGGATGTCTCTTCTAATTACAGACTCCCTTCCTTAAAAACCTGTCCATAAATCCTGATCTAGAGGTAGAACTTGGTGTGGGTACTACATGATTCTTTCCTATCCCAGTCTCACCAAGCTGATTGGATCATAGGAACTAAAAGAGGAAGATTGACAGTAGTCTATGGTGAGTGATAGATCTGACTTGTTGGAGTCAGCTGGCCAGGGCTGGTGCCGGGAAGCCAAGCCATGTGAGCCCTGGTTATGGGGAAACAAGAACCATGAGTAAGCAGAAATTGCTCTTTAGATAAGAAAGATTTTGAAGGTTCTGAGAAAAGCAGACAACTTGAGTCCTAGGAATAAATGAGTAGAAATACTTTCCCAATTATTATGAGGGTCACTTTGCCCCTGTCCCTAAGATAGCTGACTTCTGCAGGGTTCCCTTTCCCCAACTGAGCTAACCTGAGTACTTTCCTGATCCTTGCCACTGAAGAATTTAGAATTTAGAAAAGCAAAAGATTCTTTAGATTTCAGCATTTCTAAACAGTCCTTAACATTAAAAAATAATAATAATAATAAGTGGTGACCACTATTCTAGAGTATAATCACCGTTCCACTTCCACATGGTAGCAATTCTATCCAATTAATTGTGCCACATAATAGTCAGGACAGTATATACAAATGTCATTCCCTTTCTACTGTGTTGTGACCTTGAGCAAATTTCACATCTCGTCAGAAGAAAAAAAATTAACTTGTCTTCAATACTTTACATGACTGGTTAAAATCAAATGAGATGGTAGAGATGAAAGTACTCTGAAAATAACAAATTATTATGAAATGTAAGGCTTCATTATTGCATAAACTAAGTTGATGCCTAAAGATCACATTTAATTCATAGGCGTATGGAAGGAGTGGCAAATATTGAAACCCAATGAGTCACAGAAAAGGACAGACATTGAAGGGGGCTTGGACCAAACCCTTGAGTTTAGTTCAAGATTTCAAGGTCACATCACTAATGAGTTACAGAGGCAGAAGTAGCCCTCCAGTAACTGAATGCCAGTCTAGAATGCCATACCATTCCTCTTCAAATTTCATCAACTTGGATCTCCCCCAATATTGTCCATGTTAAAATAAATAAGCAGACAAAACTATACACACACTCTGCTCCTTGATGATCTCAAGAAGTTCATCCAAAAATTCAACAAATAATTTTTGAGTGCCTACCTTGGGTGAGCATTTCTTCTTTTAGGCCCTGAGGCAAAAATTTAGGCCAAAAAAAAAAAAAATCACACCAATATAAAAGTCAAGGACAGGCTTGACTGAATGGCGAAGTCACCATGAACAACAAGATATGGCTTGTGGGAGATATGTGGAAAAGGAAGGGCTATCCCAGTATAAATTTAGGGCACAACCATCAAGGACCCCAGGCTGGAGCCCAACAGACATTGCAAGGCTGAGTCAGAAAAGCAGGACAGAAGAGGAGGGATTAGTCAGTGTGTGCGGCAGGAGTCCATAGCTTCATGATGCATGCATAATCCCACCTACCCAGGGCCTTTGCATTTGCTGGTTCCATGATTCTTTCTCTTGGTGGCTCACACAGCTGGTTTCTTACCATCCTTCTGGGCTCAGCTTAAACCTTACCTCTTCCTAGAGACCTTTCTAACCATTCTGTCTAAAGTAAGCACCACTCGTACTATTTTCTGCCACATCAACTTTATATCCTTAGTGGCACCTTTCTCATTGGCACCCATTTGTTAATATGTTTACGTTTAGTCGCCTGTCTTCACGGTCAGACCGCAGACTCCGTAATGCTGGCACCATATGAATCTTGTTCACTCTATTTTCCCATACCTAATGCAATGCCTGGCACATATCAAGCATTTGATAACTTATCTGCTACATAAATGGATCAAGAATCTGTCTTTATTCTTAGGATGCACCCTTTATAGTGAAGAGTATAGCTTTCATACCTTTTCAAATCAGGCTCTCTTTAAGGTTTTCTGTTAGCTTGATTTCATTGTTGGTAAATGTTGCTGGCAAATATTCACTGTGATGTGAAACAGGCCACTGGCCCCTTGTCACCTCAATCCCAGACCCTAAAGGATTGGGTCATAGTATCGCTTCACTACTGTAACATTTTATGGATGAGAACACTGAGGCTTGGGAATACAACAAATTTCCTGAAGTCACACAGCCCCTACACGGCAGAGCTAAGATTCAGAAACAGGCCGACCATGCTTATGTTGACAGTTCAGTGGCATGTGTCATGGCTTTAACAAGCTTAGGAAACCATATGGTTAACAAACCATAACAAACCTTCCTTATTGGACCTAGGGACACAAAAGGGCATAATTTTTATTTTAGCTATTTTTAGATGTTTTGGGGGTTTGGAAAAGGGAAAGGTTAAACAAACAAACAAAAAAACCCCAAAAACTTTCATTCTTAGTGTCCACAGAGTTTGTTTAAAAAGGACTCCAAAGATTTAGTGCCTGCTTTCTGGAAGATTCTCTTCTAATCATAAAACTGTTTTCTCTGCTAGAGTTTGAAAATAAAGGAAAATAAGGCAGGAACAGAGTCCCAGAGGAGAAACAAAGTTGTGTATAGACCATTTGGTCTGCTCCCTAATGGTCTCATCCTCTTTGTGTGTCCTGCAGGTTTAAAAGCTCAACATGTGCAGATGTTTTCTGCAGTTGGCCATGACCTCA